GAACGGGTCGTTGTGCAGGTCAGCCCTTGCTGCTTGTCTAGGTGAGATGGAGGGGGGAAGACCTTGCTGTTGATGCGTGGCCCTTCTCGAAATGGGCCATCCCCTGTTTTCTAGCCACATCAGTGGGTCTTTCCCTTCCCCTGTCGGTTGTGCTAGACGGGCAATCTGTTCTCGGGCTAGCCCCTTCCATGGGGTATCTGGACAAAATAGCTGACGTTTGAGCCATTGCAACGCTAGTGCCTTTGTTTGTAGCACCGGATCGAGTATGCCCAGGGCACCGCAGGCCTTCGGTTGGATCAGGGAGAGCCAAGCGATTCTACTGATGACATTTTGCTCTTCGTGGTCGCCCCTCCACAGAAAGGCAGCGATCTATTGCTGCAGGGGGCGAAGGTTGCTCTTGTCCAAGGCCCAGATGGTTGACTTGTACCACATGGAGACTAATATCACATTATTGATTATTAGTGAGCGCCCTATCAGCGATGTATGTTTGCATTTCCATAGTTTCATCTTCTCACGAGGCGGGCCTGAAATCCATTCGTTGTTAGTGGTCGGCCTCCCCTCTGCCAACATGAGCACCCCCAACACCTTGATCGGGGCTTCTTTTGGGAGCCATTTTATGTTGGGCACTTCTGGGGGTCTCACTCCTTGGTGGTGGATCCACCAGGCCTGGGTTTTGTTGCCCCAGTTGACTCGCATATCTGCTAATCTACAGAAGCGGTCCATCATGTGTTGGACTTCAGCCAGCGATTCGTGGGAGGCTTCCGTCATTACTGTGAGGTCGTCTGCAAAAAGAGAGCAGACCGGAACTGCTTCCTGTGGTATTGACGAGATTTGTATTCTTCTGATGCTCCCGTGTTTCCTCAAGTTGGCTGCCAACGCCTCCATTACTATTACAAATAAATATGGGGCTAGAGGGTCGCCTTGTCGTACTGATCGCTGAAGCTGAATGGGTGGGGCCAGGTTCCCGTTCACCATCACTCTAGTTGTTGCGTTTGTGTGAAGGATCCTGACCCACCGTCGGAAGGCCGGACCGAAGTTGAGTTTCTCCAGGCATTTATCGAGGAACAGCCAGTCCACATGATCATATGCTTTCTCAAAGTCGATAAAAATAATTGCTGCGTTTTTCCTTGACTGCCGTGTTAGCTTAATGACTTCGTTGATCAGGAGGACGTTATCCTGGATGTTTCTTCCTTGAATAAAGCCAGTTTGGTCTGGATGTATGATGATAGGCATGACTGACGTCATGCGGTTGGCCAAGGCTTTTGCCATCAGTTTGTAGACGACCGTTAGCAGGGTGATGGGTCGATAGTTCCTAATGTTGGTCCTGACCCCTTTCTTGTACAGGAGCGTCAGGACCCCCTTCCCAACAAATTCCCCGGTCTGTCCCGATGCCCAGACTGCCCGGTAGAAGTCCATGAGATCTTGTGAGATGGAGGGCCACATTGCTGTCCAAAATTCTTTGGGCAGGCCATCAATTCCGGGTGTCTTTTCGTCATCCATTTGCTGCAAAGCTGTCCATATCTCCTCTTTGGAAAGAGGTTCGTCCAAGATTGAGCTTTGGTGACCACTCAGGGTTTTGTCTAGCGGGAGGAGAAAGTCTTCAATCTCCTGTAGTCGGTGTGCGATTGGCGTGTCACCACATTCAGAGGTAAAGAGTTCCTTGTAAAAGTCCCTCGCGATTTTGGTGCAGACTGCTGTAGAAGTGTGCAGGGGTCGTGGTTGCCTCTGGGGTCCTCCAGGGCCTCTATCACCGATCTTCCAGCCTTTGCCCTGGCCGTCGCAAAAAAACGTGCATCCATTGCCCTGTCGGTGGAGTGCCTTGAAAGTTTGCCCCGGATACGGACGCCCTGCCAACGGTTCTGCATGTGATCCAGCAGACAAACTTCTAAGTTCTGGATTGCGTTGGCTACGTCGGTTTGTTGTGGTGTTGTTGCCGTGGATGCTAACTCTTCCTCCTGTTGTTGCAGCTGTTGCAATTGGTGATGCAGGTTCACCTCCTCGGCGTGACGTTTACTTGCGAGGAGCTTTGAGTATTCGTTGCACTTGCGGCCCAAAAATGCCAGGCCGTTGTTGAACCATTCGATTATGGCGTCGAACCGGGCCTTCTGTTCCCGCCAGAAGGACCAGATGTCTATGAGGTATACCCGAAAGCGTTCGATGGACAGGACCGAGATATTTAGTTTGTAGAAGCTTCTACCTTGGTCCGTTTTTTTCGGGAACGATAGAATAACGACGCACATTGCATGGTCCGGACTCCGGAGTGGGCTGCGCGGGAAAATGTTGGCAATTTGGAGGGCTCCTTGTATTTCTTTTGGAATCAAGATTAGATCGATTCGGGATCTCGTTGATTTGTCCGTGCTGCTCTTGCGGAACATGTGAATCTGCGACTGAACGGGAATTGTCTCCTAAAGGAGTCGAAAAGGTTGAGGGATTGTGTGAGTTTTGTGATGTTTTTTTCATCATTTTGGACGTATGTGGGGCATGGGGCGGGGAGCTTCCATCTGTCCAGCACACGATCGGGGGCCGCGTTAAAGTCACCCGCCAGAATTACTGGGATCCCTGCTGGAAGTTTGACGTTCAGGGACTCTAAGAATTGTTGATGCTGGGCAGGGTCATTGGGTGCATATATGTTCAATATACACACCACGTCAGTCTCCAGCATGGCAAGTAAATACACCCACTTGCCCTCCTCCCGGTCTGCCGCCCAGTTCAACATCTCTACCCGTGAGTCCGGGGGGAGCCATATGGCTACACCGGTGCTCCCCGGCCTGGGGGCACGGGCCCTGAAGGTTTGGTGGGGCCAGAGCACTTTGTGTATGTGGTTGTGGTCCGGGGTGTCCATGAGGTGGGTTTCCTGCAGGCACACGACGTCCGGCCATTGCCTACCCTCCACCCCTCTGAGTTGGTCAATGATAGCCTGTCTCTTGGATGGCTTCGCTGAGGCCAGGCCGTTGACATTTAGTGAGCGCAAGTCAAGGTCTGCTTGGCGCTTGCAGGCCTTCCAAGGCCGTGTCTCTGCCGTATAATGCTTCCACGGTGTTCATTTCTCTGATTTGCGCTTATATATGGTTTTTTTTTTTTTTTTTTTTTTTTTCTACATGGGAAGCCACTTCTCAGAGTCCAGCGGACTGCCGCTCTGCAGGGCGCCATTTCTGAGTATCTTGACCACAAACGAGGTGATTTCCGTGGCAGACCACAGATCCCCCGCCTTGATTTTTAACATTTGCAGGTTCAGGAGGGCGTTGTGGTCAAACCATCTCAAGCCCTCAGAGGGCTCATGGTCGTATAGCAGATAGATGTCCTTGGACGCCAACCTGTGTTGGCCGTATGAACGGACGAGGGCAGCGGAAGCACCCTGCGGGAGCTGATCTTGCATCAATTGTGATATTTCCGCTTTCCTCAATGCCAGACAATCTGCCCAGGACATGAGGAGAGAAAATAGGAGGAACGCTCTCTCATAGTGACCTCGCCGTGTGTTGTCCCCGGCAGAGCTGCAAGGCCAAGTTCCCAACCCTCGTCCTTTTTTCTCACCGGTAGGAAGATGATACCTTTATTCAAGGGTGGTCCATCAGGGGGTGCCTGTTCTAGAAAATGGGCTATTTTTTGCCTTTTACTGGTGAGCACATCCTCGGAGGGATTGGGGGCGGGGCCGGGGGCATAGCTTGGTGGGATCTGGTTGGATGCTGTTGACCTGGCTGGCAGTGCCAGGCACAGGCCCTCCGGGGAGCCCTTCCCAGTTGGCTCCGAGGTCCCCTGTCCCTGATGTGATTGCGACGCTGTCGGGGCGCCTGTGGATACACACCCCCTACCGCTGTTCCAACCTCCTTCGGGGTTTCACCCTCCCCTCCCTGCATTCCTCTCTCCCGTTCCGCCCCCGAAGGGCTGTCTTCCGACACACCTGCTACCGCTGTTCCTTTCTCCAACCGGGTTTCACCCTCCCTTCCCCGTGGTCCACTCCCTCGTACATCCCTCGAGGGGTTGTCCGCCGCCGTCGAGGCGGGTGCCGCGTCCTGTTGCGGTGTCGGAGGTCGGGGACAGTTGGAGGTTTCCTGTTCTTTGCCTACCTCCTGCTCTGCCAGTGGGGGCTGAAAACGGTTGAGAACGATGCTGAGGAGTTTCTGGCATATGGTGTGCCAGTCTGTTCCTTCAGGGGGTCCCTGCAGCAGCGCTTTGTGGAAGGAGTCACTACTTTCCAGCATTGGGATCAGCTCCCTGTACACCCCGTCCCAAAAGTCATCATTGCCTTGCAAATAAGTCCATCAGCCAATCCGCCACTGCTTGCAGACCCAGATCTGGGGGGCTGTTCACCTGTGGCTCCTGGGCTTCCGTCATCTCGACGTCCGGAGGAGCTGGTGGGGGGGGGGGGGGGGGGGGGGGCCCGGGGGAAAAAGTTTAATAGTGGGGAGAAATTTTTTTTTTTTTTTTTTTTTTTTTTTTTTTTTTTTTTTTTTTTTTTTTTTTTCTGTGCTTTTCCTTTTTTTTTTCTTTTTTTTTTCGCCTGTTTGGTTCTTTGATATTTAGGTTCTATGGTTATAGTGATTCCAGTTTGAAATTTCTGTAATTTTGATGTTTAAGTTCGCGGGCTGTCACAACGATTTCCCAAATTTTGGTAATCCATTAACCATCTCTCATTTGCAGTATACTAAGGTAGCCTATATACTACCCTCTTCACCCGAATTGTCGCTGCATCTGGACCGAAAGTTGTGCCAAATTCAGCTATAATGACTGGGCATCTGGACCCAAAGTTGTGCCAAATTCAGCTATAATGACTGGGCGTTCTATTCGGGTGAAGATGGTAGGATAGGATCCCTTGCAATTCTTAACCAGTTCAGCAAGAAGAAGCAGCGCCACATGATTAACTTCAGATAAACGAAAATTCTGTTTTTTTTTTTTTTTTTTTTTTTTTTGCGTTTCTGGACGGCCATAAATCAAAGGGACTTTGAGGGACTAAAAAGCAAAAGAAGCATGGTATGGTTTATAAATTTTAATTTTATACGAACCCTTCTACATAAAATGCGCCCATCGTTTGTGGAGAACCTGTAGTGAGCCCCCGCCATTATCCTGCATCAATCAATGAACGACCATGTGCGATGGCAATCAGATCAGCTCTTCTTTTGATTACAGTTATGAAGTAATATAAACTAATGACCAATATCAAAATTATTTTGATTGCATGTATTTGCATCTCTAATACTCTATTGAATTTCCAACTTGGGTCCCTATTCTACAATTCATAGGCGCACCACCAAACTGAGCTACGCCCGTTCGAGGCAATCCGATTACTATCTATAGAACTACACATTCGGGATTGCCGCTTCAACGGGCCTAGCTCAGTTGAAGGCATTCTGCAATTAAAACAGATCGTGAAGACACTTGGCAACAATACACAAACCCAGATAGATATCAACCTGCTGATGATTGTCAATAATCGTAGTCGTGTCCAGATAGCATGAGATGGGAAAGCATACAGAGAGGAAGGAGAGAGAAGGGAGAATAGACTTAAAGTATATAAGAAAAACTGATATGCTGCTCGTATTTTTCTCTGTCTAGAACCCCATACCCCTATAATAATAAACATAGGGATTAAAACACTTTCAAAGAACACATAAAAAAGTAGAGTGGAGAAAGAAGACAATGCCCACTGCTACTTCGGGCTCCCTCCTCGATAGCGACCTCAAAAATAATCAATAGTCTGAACGCGAATCTGAAGTTCTATCACAATGTGCCATGTGGCAGGTCAATCTGTCCTCATGAGCAAACTGGAGGAATGTGGACATCAAGAAAGCCAGGTACGTATCTACAGTCGCCCCACAGTTAGGATCTCCTCCCGAGTGACGATGAATCGGAAAAGCAATGTCAGTCATGTAGCCTCGCCATGTCAGCAACAATACACGTGGCAGCGGCCACGTCAGCGGCGGGGGCGTGTGGCAGCTGCCACGTCAGCCTGCCCAGAAGAGAATTGCCAGCCAGCCACCATGCCAAGCCAGCAGCACGTCGCCGTAGTCGCTCAAGTGCCAGCGTCCAGCCAGCGTCGCGCTAGCGTCGTAGTCGACGCGTGAAGTCAGCATTGACGCAAGACAGAATGTTCTCCAAGCCAGGAGGTCCAGGCTTATGTAGCGTTGATGCGGGGTCTGGACCCCGGTTGCTGCTTCCCTCGGCCATCGAGATCTCAAGGCAAATGGCGGCCCCAATAGGCCTGACACCGAACTCCCTGTGGCCTTGATGCTGTCTGGGTCGGGTTAACTGCGCACAACAAGGGAGTGTATCTGACCAAGGGCCTGGCTGCGGTACCTTTGACCTGACAGTTGACTTTGACTTTTGACTTCCCAAGGGCAGTGCGTGGTCACACTGCCTGGCAGTGCTGGCACAGGCCGAGTTTGGCCTGTGTAGTGTGGGCTCGGTTCGAGGCCCAGACTGCTTCAGAAAAGGGGTTACTACAACCTATGTACGCAATGCACGTGTACGCACGTAGTATTACTGGGAATAGAAGTACCGGTAGGCATGATTTCATGTAGTGTGTGGGCTCGGTTCGAGGCCCAGACTGCACGTGTACGCACATAGTACTACTGGGAATAGAAGTACCGGTAGGCATGATTTCATGTTGGACACACATTTGTATGCGAGTAGAAAAATGTTTTTTTTTTTT